GTTCAGAGTAAGTCTGATTAACAACTGAGAACCTAGAACTTTGAACAGTAAATCTTTTACAGTGCTTTGTAATAAGCAGGGTAGTTGCCATTGACATCAGAAAATCACTGAGGCTACTTGTAGCCAATTTCTTTAATAAGGCATTAATTACATCTTTGCCTATTTGTTTTCTAAAGGGCAACCATTCAAAATGTGCTGACTTTCTCTGATGACAACTGGTGGTCAATAAAACACCGTGTGTGTGTGTGTGTGTGTGTGTGTGTGTTTTGTTATGTGCTGTCGAGTTGGACCTGACTCATAAAGACCCCTCCTTAGGTTTTCGAGGTGATATCACTACAGAAGTAGATTGCCCAATGTTCTTTCTGAGGAGTGGCTGGTGGGTTTGAACTGCCAGCCTTCTGGTTAGCAGTCAAGTGCCTTAGGCACTATGCTACCAATATATATATTTTAACTATCCTTGCATGTAAAGGTACATCTTATCCAGGAATGAAAAACTGCTGCTTCTTGAAAGAACGAAGAGTGATCATTTTGAAGACACCTATTATGATGTTTCTCCAGCACTGTATGCTGAAAAAAAAAGATGACAAAACTTTCACATAGGAACACTAACTTGAGAATGTAACTTTCTAGTCATTAGAATCTTAAAGAAGAGGTTTGTTTGGCTTCAACCTGTTAGAACTATGAAAATACAACATTAAAAAAATTAGTTTGCAAGGACAACTGATTTTTTTTTTTAAATTATGATTTGGGTGAAAGTTTACAGAGCAAATTCACTTCCTATACAGCAGCTCACATACACTTTGCCTCTTGACATTGACTGCAATTTCCCACAATGCAACAGATCCCCTCCCTCTTCCTCCTGATTATTACCTCTTCCCTGTGAGGACAACTGCTTTTCATGAGGATAAATGGATTTCTACAAGCTCTATTTCAAGCAAAATGTTTTGCATACTTAGTAGGTGGACTGAAAATCAAGTGTCAAAATTTAGTAAGTGCAACCAATTTATTCCGTGTAAATCACCCATCGTCCCTAGAAACCATTTTCCAGTGAAGCCATCAATCCAAGCTTAGAAGGAAACTGAACTTTAAACCAGATCTTCAGAGTACTACATCCCAAAGCACCAAATCAAGATTTGAAGAAAAACAGATACCCAACCACATTGCTCTCATTCAATTTTAAAATATTTTTTTTTGTGAGCACGGATATTATGCATTTCAAGTGTCTTTTCTTTCTCGTTTGAAGTTTGTTTATGCTTTGTAGAATTCATAATATATTAGTATTTAGCACATTAGCATATACAGATTAACATATAGTGAGGACGGATGTTCTAATACTATGGATTGGTGTCCCATCTAAAGTTTGCAGACCACTGGGTTGTGCTTAAAGATCCTCGAGGGGGTGCAAATGGTTTGCAGATCAACCATTAACCCAGAGGCGGGAAGTTGGAACCCACCCACGGGAAGAAAGGGCTGGTGGTGATCTGTTTCCTGTAAACATTGCTGACACCCTATGGAGCATAGCCCCACTGTGTAACACTCGGGGTGGCCTTGACTCAGAACCGGCTGGGAGGCAGCAGGAGGTTTGTGGTTCCTTTTCAAAGTCAAACATCCTTTTGGAAACAACTTTTGGGCACACACACTGAACAGGGATGTTGCTGTTGTTGTTACATGCCATCGAGTCGGCCCCGACTCATAGTGCCCCCTCCTTGGGTTGCTAAGGCACTATCACTATGGAAGTAGGATTGCCCAACCTTCCTTCCGAGGAGTGGCTGGTGGGTTTGAACCGATAGAAGCAGGAAAACACAGCGAGGCAGCCACCCTCAACGGGGCGGGCACTCCCCGCCCAACCGGGGCCCAGCCGCCAGAAGCCTCCCCGGCTAAGACCAGAGCACAGAACGCCCCTCTGAGTCACGCCGGCGGCTCTGACGCAGATGCAGGCGGGCGGGCATTATCCCCGGAGTAGCAGCAGCAGCGGCGGCGGCGGTCTTGGCAGCTGGCTCCAGGTACCGGGCTGGGGGCGTCGGGTCTCCAACTCCCCGCCGTGCCACCTGGTCCCTGCAGCTGCGGGGCTGCGGGGGGTCAAGGATGGAGGGAGGCCGGCCGGAGGCGGGACCAACAGGAAGACAAACTGGGAAGAGGAAAGACTGGATGAAGGCGGGAGGTGGCCAGAGAGGCGCGGTGGATAGCCTTTGCCTGTGCCGTCCGGGCTCCAGCTGTGAGCACCCGGCCCTAAGAACCGTGACTCCGCTGCTCGCGATTGGCTAGTCGGAGGGGCGGGGCTGTGACCTAGGCTTCGGATTTGTCGCTCTAGGTGGGTGGGCGGGAACTTTCGAATCCTGAGCGAGCGGAGCCGGCGGTGCGTCTGGAAGACCTGGCGCGGAGTAGTCTTGCCTGGAACTAGGGGCCGGGAGTGTAAGTGATCCTGGGCCTGCTTGGCTATTCTTCTGCTTCCCCTGGCTTCTCTCTTGCCCTGCTCCTCCAGCCACCCCTGCTTGGTGCTCGCACAGGCGCTTCCAGCCCCTCACAAGCCCTCCCGGTTCTCCTAGGACAGCTCCTATGGGTGAGGGAGGAAAAAAAAAAATCAGTCCCCCACTCCAAGGCGGTATCTCTAGAAGTAGATTGCCCAATCTTCCTTCCAAGGAGTGGCTGGTGGGTGTGAACCACGAGCCTTCTGGTTAGCAGTCAGATGCCTCAGGCACTACGCCACCAGAACCTGGAACTACACCCATCTGAATTCTAACTAGAATTACAACATCCTTGGCCAGTCTTGGGTTATAGGTTCACTTGGTATGTTCCACAGATTGCATGTGGAATATACCTTTCTCTATCCTCCCTGGCGCCTCCCTTAACCAACTGATGGCCCGTGGCCCATCCTGAGAATAAACTGAGTTATGAGCGACCCTCAGAATCATCCCAGACCCCCACTGCTCCCTCACCCATCTGTGACCAGCTGCAGGGCAGGCAATTCTGCCTCTTCTATCTCCAATGCGGGAGTCTCCTTTGCATTACAGCATCACTCTGGTGGCATAGTGTCTAAGGCATTTGACTGCTAACCAGAAGGTTGGCAGTTCAAACCCACCAGCCACTCCTTGGAAGGAAGATTGGGCAATGTACTTCCATAAAGATTCACTGCTTTGGAAAAGCAATGGGGGTTGCCCTAAGTCAGAATCACTGGATGGCAGTGAATTTGGAGTTGGTTTGGTTTGCTCTATGGCAGTTGTAAGCCAACAGGTCTCCCAGCCTGTCGCCACACCAAACTTTGAGCCACATTATTTTTCTAAACCTCCAAAGTGCTCATACCAAACGTGTTTAGAACCCATGCATGGCTTTCCAGACCATAAGATCAAGTCCAAACTCCCAAACTGGCCCTGACCATTTCAGAACCCCCATTCTGTGTGACCACCGCATCCCTCTCAGGAAACCACTTGGACTGATTCCCTTGGCTCTGCACAAACCATACTCTTCATGTTGCAAGTCCCTCAGCCAAGAATTCAGTGCCCCCTCTCCCCATCTCCTCAGAAGGAAGGTTGGGCAATCTCCTTCGGTAGTGATGCTGTCTCAGAAACCCAAGGAGTCACTATCAGTGGGATCTGACTTGACACCAGTGAGTTTTTTTTTCTTTTTGTTATCAGTGTGGAAGTAGATTGGTTAATCTTCCTTCTGAGGAGTGGCTGGTGGATTTGAACTGCCAGCCTTCTCCTTAGCAGTCAAATGCCTTAAGCACTACACCACCAGAGCTTAGCATCATATTTAGAAGATGCTAAACACATGACTGACTTGCAACATGAATTTTTGTTTATGTGTGTCTTCTGGGGGTGAGCTCCAGGCAGGACTCATGGTGCTCATTTTATATTTTTTTCCCCTAAAACATAAGGGAAGTTCTAAATAAATGCTCCTTGAATAAATTCATGTACAGGAGTGTATGGGGAGAGTGTGGAGTGGAGTAGGGCATTCACAGGGGTCCAGGCTCAGCAAATCAAAAGACAACCAAACACGCTGCTGCCTAGTTGATTCTGACTCCTGGTGACCCACATGTTACAGGAAGGGATCATGCCCCCTACCTCAGAGCTCTGGTAGCATAGTGCCTAAGGCATTTGACTGCTAAGCAGAAGGCTGGCAGTTCAAACCCACCAGCCACTCCTCGGAAGGAAGGTTGGACAATCTATTTCCGAAGTGATACTGCCTTGGCAACCCAAGGAGGGGTCGCTATGAGTCACTGTTGTTATGTGACTATGAGTCAGGTCCGACTTGACGGCACATAACAACAGCAACAAGAGCCTCAGAGCAGGAGGCTTTGCATTGGGGCTGACCCTCCTGTCCTTGCTATGAGACCTGTGGACAGTAAAGTAATGGTGGGTGGCCTTGTTTGTTTAAACTAGTTTAATGCCAGTTAATTTTAGTGGCCTCAGTTCACAGCGTTCCACCTTGCAGTGTTTTTATGACACTGTCAACTTGTGACACTAGCATCCATAGGTATTACTGAAGATAAAAGTCTTACTGAAGTGAATGCCTTTTTAGATTCACTGGGCAGGGTGCCTTTGGTTAGAGTCTGAACCCTCTCAAAAATTTTAATGTACAAGTGAGACTGAGGCACCATAAAAAAGGAGCATGAGTCATGGCCCCCTGGACCAGTGCTGGGAGCAAGGCCTTTTCTAGCTTCTAGAAGCTCACCACTTTTCTTGGCTCATGGTCCTGCATCACTCCAGCCTCTGCCTCCATGCTCCCATCTCCTTCTCCAACTCTGGCCCTACTGCCTCTCTGCTACAAGGACCTTGAGCTAACTTGGACGCCCCCCCCCCCAATAATCCAGGGTAACTTCCTGTCTCAAGAGCCTTCATGCAGTCACATCTGCAGATTTCCTTTGCCACGTGAGATGACTCAGGTTTCGGGAAGTAGAATGTGGACGTCTTTGGGGGCCTACCACCACCCAGGGTACCCAGGGGTCCTGATGACTCAGACTGATGAGCGCTCCACTGCTTCTGTTCTGTGCTCTTACCAGATCTCCCCCGATGGATCAGCTCTGTGAAGGAAATGGCACTTTTGCCATCAGCTTATTGAAAATGTTGGGTGAAGAGGACGTGTCCCAGAATGTGTTTTTCTCTTCAATGAGTGTCTCCTCTGCACTGGCCATGGTCTTCATGGGTGCAAAAGGCAACACTGCCACCCAGATGTCCCAGGTATGGAAGCCTGTCATGGAGGAAGAACAATGGGAGGTTTCCTGCTTCCGTGAAACCAGTGACTGTTCAGTTGATTCAGGCTCATGGTGGCCCATGTGTGTCAGAGTAGAACTCTGAGAGTAGAGTACTCTGTAGAGTCTCCAGCGGCTGATGTTTTAGAAGTAGATCACCAGGCCTTTCTTTTGAGGTCCCTTAGGTGGATTTGAACCTCCACCCTTTTGGTTGGCAGCCGAATGGTATTAACTGTTTGTACCACTAGGGAACCCCTACTTCCGCTAGCTAGAGCTGGTCTTTTCAGACCTTCACCCACCTGACGAAAGCCAGTGTGGCCTGTAGCTGTGAGGAGGGGAAATGCGACGGAGAAAGGGCAGACTGGGATAGAGAAGGTGCCTTGTGTAGTGTTAATGGGAGAAATCAAGTGACTAAGTTGTTTTTTCCTAGATAAAAGCATCAACAAATTACAGCAAAATAGCATCTTGGAAAGTCAGGTGATACTATAACTGTGTTCACAAAAAGACAAAGAATTTCATCTTTCTTTTATTTCAAAGTTTTGCTAAATTTATTCATCAAGTTGAAATGCAGCTGTATGAAAGACTTGTAAAATTGATTATACGTAATTATGCATAAGTGAAAGAAGAATGCAACACATGTATGGACTTATATTTTCAGGAGTTATTTAGAAAATAATTAGTTATTAGTCATAGATAATCTCATTGATCTAAATCAGTTTTTATGTGGCTTTTCTGTACACATGAGGTAGTAAGTGATACTTTAGGGAAATAGTCTTTAACCATTTCGGGTCTGAGGTGCCTTTGAAAATCTAGTGAAAGGCACCAGACCACTGCCCCGTGCACGGCATTTTGCTAACGGTAATGGTGTTGTACGGCGGTGGCCCTGCGGTGCATCTGTGGACCCTAGTTGGAGAGCCCCTGCAAGTGTTCTGTACAGTTTACCAATGAGTCAAGCTTGGTCTGGGGTGGAGGGAGATCAAGGAGCAGGCGTCATTCCCAGCCTGACTTGCTGTTTGAATCACAATCTATCTGGACTTCTGTAAAATGGCTGCGTAAATATTTTCATTTCGTTTCCTCTCTGTATCCCCTGGAGCCCTATTAGATTAATTCCAACCACCTGTCTTGTCTGTTCTGTCTCCCACCTGAGTTAGCCCATCCATGCCTTCCTGCTGAATGAACCTGCTAGATCAGTGTTAGCACCTGCTGGCAATTGGGCCTCTAGGGAACCCTACCGGGTCTGAGGCTAGGTTTGGTTATCACAACTGAAGGATGCTACTGACATCTAGTGGGTGGATAGTGGGGATGCCGCGACACCTCCTACAATGCTCCGGCAGTGTGTTGCCAGTTAGTCATTTCTGGCTCATGGCGATCCCACGTGTTACGAAGTAGAACTGCTCTGTAGGGTTTTCTGGCTGTAATCGTAACCCAAAGGAGCTCTGGTGGTGTAATGCCTATAGCATTTGACTGCTAAACAGAAGGTTGGTGGTTCAAACCCACCAGCCATCCGCAGAAGGAAGACTAGGCAATCTATTTCTGTAAAGATTTACTGCCTCGAAAACCCAAAGAGGGTCGCTATGAGTCAGAATTGACTTGATGGCAGTGAGTTTGGTTTTTTTGAATCTAACCCAAGCAGATCTTTCTCCCATAGTAATGCTGGGTGTTTGCAAACCACCAACTTTCAGGTTAGCAGTCCAAACCGTTTGTATCACCCAGGGACTTTCAATGCACAGGACAGACCCCATAACAAAGAATTATCTGAGCCCTAAAGCCAGTGATGAACAGGCTGAGAAACCCCATGCTAGTCAGCTCAACCAAACTCACTTGAAGATAAAGACTGTGTGACGTGCAGCACAGAGATTGTTTAGAGATAGCGTTTTGGGGGAGGAAAGGGGCAATGTTAAAAGTTGGTGTTGTGTTTTGTTCACAGGCCCTTTGTTGGAACAAAGATGGAGATGTCCACCAAGGTTTCCAGTCACTTCTCACTGCAGTTAATCAACCTGGCTCTCAGCACTTGCTTAAAACTGCCAACAGGCTCTTTGGAGAGAAAACATGTAATTTCCTTCCAGTAAGTAGTATTGAGACATTGATGGGAAAGAAATTGAAAATAAGAGAGAAACAACAAAGAGCAGAGAATAATGTATGACCTACTCCCTTACACATGTGCTTGGAATTATGCTTCCGTAAGAGTAAGTTTAGCATAGTGGCTAAGACACTTGCCTGCTAACCAGACGGCTGGCGGTTCAAACCCACCAGCCACTCCTCGGAAGGAGGTTGGGGCATTCTACTTCCGTAGTGATACTGCCTCGGAAACCCAAGGAGGGGTCGCTATGAGTCGGGTTTGACTCGACGGCACATAACAACAACAAGAGTAAGTTTGAAGATTGCCTCTGAGTGATATCTTTTTAAAATTATGATTATTGGCTCTGATACATGCCTCCCTAAGCTCCAGCTGAATGTGTCCGCCCTCCCACACCCAGATCTACATCTCTCCCTTGATTCCTGATCCGAATGACTGCATGTCCTGTGTGTTGTACAAGCTGACAATCAGCTGTCCTAGCTGTTCTAGTTCACACTGAATCAGCCTCTTAAGTTCGCTTAAATTTATCCCCTCTTCCCAACTGCCATTGTGTGGGCTGGGGTTTTTGCTGTGTTGTCTACATGGTCATTTTAATCGCTTCCTAACTGGTCTCCAGGTGCTGTCTGGCCCTTCTGTCCATCTTGTGAGTCTGCACTACTGACGGACTGTTGTTACTGTTGGTAGTTGCTGTGGAATAGTCTTTCTAAAATAAATAAAATCTCCTCATGAAAATGAGATTTTCAACTTAGTAGCATGTATTTACTTCAGCATGTAACTTCATAGTACCTTAGTCCTGCCATATGCAATAAGTGAAGTCCAAGAAAACCCTGCAATATAATGTGCAAGATGATTCTATTATGAGATTAATGAAATGGTCGGGGCAAGCCTGGCTGTCTTAGTTACTGGGAGTTCTAAGTGTTCTTCTGTAAGATTCAGATACCTCCTGGCCCTGGCTTCTGTTGGGTGCTGCTGCCCCATGGCGGTTGTCTGTTCTGGGCCTAAATATGTTTGAGGATGGTTCCAGAACCAACCTTCATTAGCTAGGTCTTCCAGAAGAAGGACTAGTGACTCTAGGAACCTCCTGGTTAATCAATGTTTATTTGTAAACATCAGCCTGATTTGACTGCTGTTCTTAGAGAATACTGGGGACACAGGGAGTCACTTCCACCTTCCTTGGTTGCTTGGCTCCTCCTCCCCTCTCCATCCTCTTTGAGAACAGTAGTTGGGTTGACAACAGGAGCCAGTTGCGGAGCATGTTATACCTGAAACTAAGTTCCCATGGGGCAAGTTGTCTCTGGGTTTTAATGTTTTATTGAGTTGGCCACAACTTACATCCCAAGGCTCATTTCCTCTTGCTATGTTTTCCCTCTTGTCCTCTTCTCCCCTCTCTTGCCCTCCCATCTCTGTCTCTGTCTCTTTCTCTCTCACACACACCGTACTCCAGACCTATCACATTCCATTCCCTGAAGACCTTCCTGGCCCCATGTTCTTGCAAACTACCATGATGACCCACATCTAAAATGCTGTTTCCTTTTTTGTTCACATAGAAATCTTTAAGATTTCTTGATTATTTTGTTTTATTCTGAAGCCTCTCAATCATACAACAGATATGCTTCAGACACTGTGGTTGGTGCTGGTGATAAAAAAAAAAAAAATGATTAAAAGAGAGGTATGGTGCCTTGTGGGTGAGACAGAAAACCACACAGAGTCAATATGAACGTTAACTGTTTGACTGGGATGACGTCTATGGGTGTTTTGTGTAAGGCTGGTTCCATCATGTTCCGGTACATTTTGGGAGTGTCTCTGTATGTACACTGTCTCCCCCAGAGGACTGCAAGCTAACCCAGGTCCGATAGGATGTCCTCACCTTGGTGTCAGGCACCTAGCACAGTGCTAGGCTCATATTTTTTTTGTTAATTGAATGAATGAGTCTTAAAATGAGCAAGATCTTTGTAGAAACATGTGAAGAGAAAAATAAAATAGTTTTCAAAGTTGTGGCAACCTTTGTGGAGCGGGGCCAGACCCAATACTTTGCTCTCTGCAGGCCTTTAAGGACTCTTGTCAGAAGTTCTATCAGGCAGAGCTGGAGGAGCTGTCCTTTGCTAGTCATGCAGAAGAATCCAGGAACCACATAAATGACTGGGTTGCAGAAAAGACTGAAGGTGAGAGATTTCAATGTCTAAAGGCTCAGAGTTATGAAGGAAAGAGAGGCCAAGACTGGCCAGGTGTGGCTTCAATGCTGTTGACACTAGGGCCCTGTTACCAGAGATCTGTTTGTATGTTGGTGGTGGTTGTGTTTATTTGCCAAATTTCCAGGCTAGCAATGCAATTCTGTTATTTCTCTTGGGCTTGTCAGATCATGAAGTCTAAAATATCTTTAAACCTATTTTTCAAAAGTCAGACCCTCTCCCGTCTGAAAAATCCCTGAGAAATGCCTCCTCTTTGGGCCTGTTGACCATCCATCTGAGAGAACCCTTACCATGTGCTGAGGACAGATTAGTATTTGATTAAGTCACAGGGTAGAAATGATGACATTTCATGTTATCTCTTGTAGTAATTCAAATAGCTAACTGATAACTCGCTCCCTCCAGTTGAACTTGACAATGGCTAAGGGCTAAGTTTGCTTTCAGAGGGTAATCTTCTCTGAATTTGCTCCAGATTCTAGTTTCTATGGAGCCTGTGAGTCCCTGGTCCAGACCATGTGCTCTCTCACTAGAGCCATTGCTGCCAGTTCTCAACTGGACCACAGAGTAAAGGGCGGACGCTTTTATGTACCCTGGTTATTTAACACATTATTGAGGGACTTCCAAACAATAACCAAAAAACCTAAACAAACCCATTGCTGTCAAGTCTGTTTTGACTCATGTTGTTGTTGTTGTTATGTGCCATCGAGGCAGACCCAACTCACAGATACCCCTCCTTGGGTTTCCAAGGCAGTATCACTACAGAAGTAGATTGCCCCATCTTCCTTCCGAGGAGTAGCTGGTGGGTTTGAACCACCAGCCTTCTGGTTAGCAGTCAAGTGCCTTAGGCACTGTAACACCAGACTAATAGGACATAGCAGAACTGCCCCATAGAGTTTCCAAGGCTGTAATCTTTACAAAGCAGACTATCACATCTTTCTGTCATGGAGCACCTAGTGGGTTCAAACTGCCAACCTTTCAGTTAGCAACTGAGCACTTATCTACTGCATTATGGGCCTCCTTTTCCAGAAAATGGGATTAAATAATAATCATAAGCTCTGATATTGAGTTCCGAAGGCATTTGACTGCTATCCAGAAGGCTGGAGGTTCATACCCACCAGCCAGTCCTCGGAAGGAATATTGGGCAATCTACCTCTGTAGTGATATTGCCTCGGAAACCCAAGGAGGGGTCTCCATGAGTCGGATCCAACTCGACAGCAGTGAGTGAGAGTAGACTGTTTATTCATGGGCCAGCTATTCATTATTTCATCCCCCTGCCTTTACAGCACACCCACTGTGTGCCAGGCAGGAGCAATGCCCACCATTACACTGAACACCAAGAAAACAATTATCATGGGAAGGGTAGCCTTTCACTTCTCCACACACTATCTGTCTAGCGGCCTCTTGCTCTTCAGCTGATGTAGCAGCTGCCTAGGGGGCCAGAAACTTCTCCATACGTCACCCTTCCTGTCCAGTCCCTCCTGTCCACGGCTGTCACAGCCTTCCTTCCATCTGGCTGACCACCACGTATTTCCCAGGATATTGGCACTGAAGGGAACCTTGGGGATCACCTTGTCCCCTCTCTCCTTGGACAATTCAACTTGAGTTCCTCTATCCCATCTCTTCTAATTCCTTTATTCCATCACCTATTTCATGCAGCCTGCTTTTTGTTTTTAACCCTCAAATAGCAACACTCTTCTCCCATGTTTTTCAAAGGGAAGATTTCAGAAGTCTTGGGTGCTGGGACTATTGACCCCCTGACTAAGTTGGTCCTTGTGAACGCAATATATTTCAAAGGGAAGTGGAAGGAGCAGTTTGACAGAAAGTACACACGAGGAATGCCCTTTAAAATCAACCAGGTAGGGACATATTTTTCATATATCCTATTACTATCTTAAAGTAAGAAGGTGGAAAAGATTTTAAATGGGAAAAAAAAATTCAAATTCTCTTGATCTATTTTTGAGTGAATTATTTTTTTGAGTGAATTTCATGTTCCCTTTGTATTATTGGAGGGAGGGCAAAAAGTCAAATAACTTGTATTGATATTTCTGTTTTCCACCCTTGACAAGTCCGTTGACTTCTGGTCAATTATTTGGATTGGGGTTTCTGCTGAGCCCTGGGAACTTTGGTATGATGCAATCAGGATCTATATTTATTTAGACATTTCCTTAGAATATCAGGGACAACTGTGCCTATTTATTGCCTTAGAATACAAGCTATCCAGTTCCAAACCAGGTCTTCAAACTGGTTCAAATGGGTCAGTAATTGCCATCATAAACTAGGGCTGTGTATGCATTGCCTTAGTGTTTTGACCCAAGTAGGAAACACAGTTGTGCCCCACTCAAAGATGGCAGCCTTTCACACTGCTTTGAATATGTGTTGCTCTCTAGAGCTCTGCCAATAATCCAATCTCCTGAAACTTTCAAGAGGAAGAACTGTGGCAGGATTTTTGGAGAGCAATATTATTGGCAGGACTCTGGAGAGGAATGCACACTCAAAGCAGAGCAGTTGGCTGCCATCTTTGAGTGGGGCACCACTGTTTGTTTCCTACTCAGATCAGAATACCACGGACAACAAATTAGGTTGTTATGCAACACATGGACAGCTCTTGTTTATGACAGCAATTACTGAACTGTCTTGAAGCCCTATTCCATACCCCAACCCCCAAAGTGTGAGCAGATGTTAAAGCTAATTTTGTAAACACATTTGTACACTCCTTTTTGAATATGACCATGCCTGGGGTCAATAGCAGTTAGCTTGGGATTCAGCCTCCATCAACCTGATTACAGCATATTGCTCAAAGATATAAAAGTGTAAAATAGATTTAATGCAAGCTTTAAAAATAGCTGACCATACATATCTTATCAAGGTCCCTTTCCCAAGAAAATCAAAGATATGAAACTAATTATGGAATTGAGCAACTTTTCAGGATAAGAGTGTAACTCCCTTTGGCCCATTTTTCCAACCAGATCCTTCAAACCAAAGGACTGAATTAAGCTTCCTCTTAACTTGGAGGATAAAGGCTATGGGAGTGCTTTGCTATGCATTTTCTCAAAAGAGGAGAAACACAACTTGTAAAATAATGTAGAGGGTTTTATGTCTCTATATTTGCCAACCTATTGTCTCACACCTGGTAATATTTCATCTACTGAAACAACAGCATTTTGTACTCGATACAAAAATGTACTAATGAAAATTTCACGTCTACTAGCATAAATCCATGGAAAGGATAAGTCTCTTATACCTGTACCTTAGGGGTTCTTTGAGGTAGATGCATCTGATTTTTGGTAAACTGCTCATTTTCCAGGATCTAATTTTAATTCTGTGTTTTCATCAGGAAAAGAAGACAGTGCAGATGATGTTTAAGCAGGCCAAATTTAGGATGGGGTATGTGGATGAGGTCCACACCCAGGTTCTGGAGCTGCCCTATGCGGGCGAGGAGCTGAGCATGTTCATTCTGCTTCCTGATGACGACACTGACCTCACTGTGGTAAGCCCTTGGTAGTGACCCTGCGTGTCTGTGGAGTCCAGCCTCAGTTCAGTTTTTGAGCCTATCCCCCAGAGCAGCAGTTGAGGAGTTTCCAGGTTAGGGTGTTTACAGGCAGTGCTGGCCCAGTACCACTGTGTGGCTTTAGGGAACGTGTGCACATTTCAGTTCTGTCTATAAATGTCATCAGTTGGTTCAGAGAATTTTCTAAACTGAAAAACATTTGAAGTGAGTTTGGCATATGGTCCTTTTTTGCAATCTGTGGTTATTTCAGGTGTTTTCTAGTGTTTTGTTTGCTCTTATATCCACAGGATGGGGAAAGATGAGACTGGGGAGAAAATCATAGTGTTTATAAGAAGAAGGGGAGCTCTGGTAGCATAGTGGCTAAGACACTTGCCTGCTAACCAGATGGATGGCGGTTCAAACCCACCAGGCACTCCTCGGAAGGAAGGTTGGGCAATCCTACTTCCGTAGTGATACTGCCTTGGAAACCCAAGGAGGGGTCGCTATGAGTTGGGTTTGACTCGACGGCACATAACAACAACAACAACAACAACATAAGAAGAAAAATATCTGTAGATTGTCTTAAACTAGAACTGACCATTTAGTTGCACATGGAAGGGTTGTTAAGTGTAGTGAGTGTGTGGATGGGTACGTGGATAGTGTCATTTAGATGTTAAGACTGGTTTCTGTTCTCTCAGGTGGAGAAGGAACTTACATATGAGAAGTTCAGAGCCTGGACAAATCCAGAAACGATGACTACAAGAAAGGTTAAAGTTTTCCTCCCCCGCTTAAAACTGGAGGAGAGTTATGACCTGGCATCTTTTCTTCAGAGTTTAGGAATGACTGATGCCTTTGAGGAAGTCAAGGCTGACTTTTCTGGGATGTCAACCAAGAAGAATGTGCCTTTGTCCAAGGTTGCACACAAGTGCTTCATAGAAGTCAATGAGGAGGGCACAGAGGCAGCTGCGGCCACCGCGGTGGTCACGAATGCCCGGAGCATCAGCGTAGAAGCAAGATTTTGTGCAGACCATCCTTTCCTCTTGTTTATCATACACCACAAGACCAACAGCATCCTGTTCTGCGGCAGGGTCTCATCTCCATGAAGAGAGGCTGTTGCTGAACGTGCATGCCTTTCCCTCTGCCTGCCATGCCTTTGCTGAAATTCTGCATGGCCAAGTTGGCGAGGGTTCGAATGCCAAAGTAAAGTGTGTGCACCCAGCTGTCTGTGAACATCTTTGCTGAACTTTTCTTAACTGTTGGGAATGGTGGGCTTCAGAGGGGGCAAGTTTGGGCCTGAACAGGGGAGAGGCAGTTTGTAAGTGTTTACAGTGTTGGATTACACAATAAGGAAGGTCAGCATGGGTTTACTTGTGCTTATTTACTCATGTGTCGTGAATAGTTTCACATTTTTTTCACCACCTCAGAGATTATGCTTCTAGGGATGGCTGGCATATACCTCTCTCCCATAGCACCTTCCTCCAGAATCAAAGCCTTGTTTCAAATTTATAGACCCTGACAGGGATGGAGGGACCAATTAGCAAGGTAACCATGGGCTTAATCCACCCCGAGTGTTTGGGGTGTTTCTCGATGGCTCTGTCCTCACATACCACAGGCCCATTATTTGTGGGTGTTATAAAGGGCCTCTCAAGGATTCATGAACCAGCCCTCAGGTGTTCCTCCAACCTGAGATGATCTCACATGTCTGCCGGCCATCTCAGGTAGACCCACCAGGAGGGGCCGGTCACAGGGCCTGTCGCTCATGAAGCTGAACATCTGCACATCTGTAAACACTGCGGCCACCCCGTGTCTCCAAACAGCTGAGGTAAAGTGTCTCCCTCCCTCATATCATCCCAACAGCCCGTGTTCCCCAAGTCCCTCATGAAAACCGTCCCTTCAAATCTTTGCAAGAAGAAACTTTAGACTCAAGTTCAGGGCTCAGCCATGAGCTTCAGGACTGGTCGGACTAGCAGGCAGGTCCCCAAAGAATGCCACTCCTGAAACACATTCAAAACCCCACAGGGGCCTCCACTCCAACAGCTCCTTGAGCAAGGCCTCTGATTAACCAGAGAGGCTCAGACCGGGGCTCGAAAACACCCCTTGCTTAAGGGAAAAGGACCCTCCTGCATTACTTTTTGTTTTCTGATGAAAAAGGAAACATGGGAACTCTAGAAAAGTATACAAAGAAAATTCAAGTCACCACCAATCCCTGGCAGCTGTTAACAGTGATGTATGAGCTGTCGGTGCTGAGGGAACCACTGATGCTTCCCTTGAGCCCCTGACTCCACTCAGCTCACCAGGGAGTCAAACTCCAGCGGTGCGCTGGCAGATGACCAAGAAGGCAGCTCCCTGCTGCTGTTCATAGTCTTCTGGTGATGGGACCAGAACTGCCAAGGACCCTGTGCTGAGCTGCGTCCCATCTACAGTCGGCTCTCAGCAGGCCCTGGTGCTGAGGGAGGTCCTTTGAAGGTAGGAAGTTCCTGAGCCTCAGGCCACTGGGGAGAGCATGAGCCTTTCCGGAGAGACCCTAGAGCCATGGTGAGTTGGCTTCTATGAAGAAGGAGGTGATCTTGTTCAACTTAGGCATGGTACCTTGTGGGGCATCATCACAGGGACTCCTTCCTCTGGGTGCCCCAACCAAAGCCACTAAGAAGGAGGAGGATGTTGAGAGGACAGGAACACCTGAGACCCTCTCCTCGTGCAACAGTTACTGTTCAGTTCTGATAGATCTGGCCCACCCGTGATGAGTTTCCTGCTACTGAAATTCATGTCTGGATAACCTCACAGCCTTTATCAGCCTTGAGAGCCAACCCGGGGTCCAGGGGTCTACAGCTCATGAGGCAAAGGATGGTCAGACTGTTAACCAGACTCGGATTCCTTTTTGCCATTCCTGGTAGTTACAGAACCCAACTAAACTTCCTTGTGTGGTCAAATGAACAGGTCAATAACAGAGAGTGGATCTTAACTGACAAAATCGAGGGCCTGGGGATCACTACTGCCAAATCACAAAGGTGGACCACAGAAAGTGATGATAAATGGTAGTTAGGCGCCCTCATCTGGACAATCCAGGCCATACCTTTTGTGCAAAGATCTCCAGATCTGGTTACTCAGTAACCAAGTCTGATGGGGAAGAGTTGGATGAGCTCCTCACCAAGGAAGTCATGGCTGAGTACAGACCATGGGGGCCCAACAGCAGCCCTACTAGGGTCTCACAGTGATGGCCCCTGTGACAATAGATATGGTATCTATCAAATCAATAGAACACAGTTGTTACTGTGAGGTGAGGAAAGCAGTTGCTGACAATTCAGAAGTTTCTAATGAGTTCTGTGACCTTGAGCAAGTTGCTTAAAGTCCTTGCGGCTCAGAGTCTCCTTCTTTGTAGCATGAAAGGCTTTGCCCACTGATCCGTCAGCAGCTCCCAGCTCAGACGTCCTCTAATAAACATGTAGCACGAGCCTGCGCTGGGCCACAAGCTTTCCTCTCCACGTTGAGATTTTTTTCATTACTTTGTAAGCCTTTGTGATTTGAAAGATGACTTTCGTTGTTGGGAATCTAAGTTGGCTCTTCGTGCTTGTGATGTCGATACATCTTCATTTCCACTAAAGACTTGGAGGATTGTTTCCAGTGAGAGGATGGCAAAATAAAACCATGTTTCCTATTCTCACGTTTCTTTCATCTTCATCCTTTGTCAGCAGAACTGTTGCTATTTGTCACTTCAACATTTTCCAGTGGCACTTCACTCCTCCTTTGGGGTCTTTGACGTTTTTCTCATCAGACTGAAGGATTTTGCTTATCGTTCTCCAGGGCAGCTTCTTGTTGCTGCAGAAGGGTAAGGCGAGCCTCCTTATGCATGAAGCAAGGTCTCCAGGTAATCCCCTTCTCTTCCTAATGGAAAGAACGACATTCAGTTAGAAGATGAAGACTTGGAGAGAAAACTGCTTGCTACAGGGCTCTGTGGCTCGTCTGGCTCCAGCACTGCTGTCTGGTGGTGGGCTTGATTATGGGAGAGGGAACCTGTGTGTTCTGGCTGGGGGAGGCCCGGTGACCCAGCAGCCCCTTTCCTGGGAGTGGCAGGGACCCAGTGCCCCCTCGCTGGACGGGGGCATGGCTGACCTGACCATCCCTTCCTAAAGAGTGGGGTGGGTGACGAGTACTCAGTAAAGTCCTCTGCTGGGAGAAGGCTCACTTATTCGACAGGCCACAGAACTTTCCAAAGGTGAATAAAGAGAACTTTTCAGCTCTCTCTGTTGTTAGGTGCCCTCGAGTTGCATCCGACTCAAAGTGACCCTATCTGTGTACAACAAGGAAACTGCCTGGTCCTGCCCCATCCTCACTACCGCTGCCATACTTAAGCCCACTGAGAGCGCTCTCTACTGAGTCAATTTTCCCCATATCTTGGGGAAGGGGCCAAAGTGTTTAAGAGACAAACTTGTTTGATACCAGATTTTTTCCAGAAAATCCAGAATCTTGATACTTCTGCTATCAAGGGCTGGTTGAAGTTAGGTGGAGAGAAGACAGAAATGTTAGCAGGAATGAACAGAAGGGATAAACCCATTCTGTTACTGTTACAGAGTGACAGAGTGGTTAAAAGGGCCTGTTGGAAAGTCATAGAGATTCAATATTTGAATAGGGCGGGATTTTAGAATAACCTAATGCCACCTTTTTGTGTTTTTGTTTTTTTAAATGGAATCTAAGACCCAGAGGTTTTGCATGGCTAGCTAGCATCTGGTTCATCACCTGCACATGACAGCAGCTTAGGAAAGAATTTTTTAATTCACTTGTCTGGAAGCATAAATCTGGTTGGTGGCAGTCCTGAATGATGGGTATGGACGGAGAAAATGGGAGGTGCTAGGCTCCACTGAAGAGGCACTGAAGTTTAAAATCCTTTTCCTGGTTGGGTGTCAACCTTGCTCTCAGTGCTAAGGCTTTGACCATCAGAAGTAGTAACAGGGAGCTATTTTTGCTGTCCTTCTGTCTGTTAGGAGCTCTGGTAGCATAGTGGCTAAGGCACTTGCCTGCTAACCAGACGGCTGGCGGTTCAAACCCACCAGCCACTCCTTGGAAGGAAGGTTGGGCAATCCTACTTCCGTAGTGATACTGCCTCGGAAACCCAAGGAGGGGTCGCTATGAGTCAGGGCTGACTCGACGGCACATAACAACAACAACAACTCTGTCTTTGAAATACATTGTGCAGGCACAATGGTCCCTGGGTGGCACAAACGTTTTGCTTTTAGCTAGTAAGTGAAAGGTTGGCAGGTTGAACCCACCCAGTGGGGCTATGGCAGAAAGACCTGGAGAGCTGCTTCTGTAAAGATTTTAGCCAAGAAAACCCCACGGAGCAGTTCTATCCTGTAACACACAGGGTCACCATGAGTTGGGATGGACTTGATGGTGACTGGTAAACCAAGGCACCACAGAAACCTGGGCATCAGCCTAGACCCTGCTTCTCCTGCATCTGTGCATCTGACCAGTTGATGACCCTGCCTGGTCCACAACTCCATGTGCATTTTTGTGCATTGAATTGTGTCCTCCAAAAAGAGGTGTTGAAGACCTAACCCCCAGTACATGTGACGGTGACCTTGCTTGGGAACAGGATCTTTGCAAATGTAATCAGTCTGTAATCAAGATAAGGTGACTAGGTCCAGATGCAGCACTAGGGCAGGTCCTCATTCAGTAATTGACCCCCTTATAAGAAGAGGGAGATAGGCACAGGGACTGTGTCCCTTCTCAGGGACCTGAGCACCGTCACCAGACCAGCCTGTCTCTTCTGACTTTCTCCAATGTCCTCCTGGTAGTCCTAGGAGGTTTTCTGTAGGTCATATTTTTGGTTCTTTGTAAAACTGAGTCTTGGGAGTTTCTGAAAAATCCTTCTTTTTTAATTTTTTTTTTTTAAAGCTCACTGGGGACTGAAAAAAAAAAAAAAAGGTCTGATTTGAAATGACCTTGTTTTGTGCATCCCATGTTCTCCCTCTTCTTTGGGGTAGTATATCTCAGACTCCAACCCAGATCTTACGACTCAAAGGGCTGCAGGAGAGGCAGTGAAAACAAAGCTTTGCAGGTAAAAAGGCTCTTGCAAAATATTACCTGGTTTACATATGGCCTAGAT